TATTTTACATTTTTTTGCAGCCAAATATTAATTTGCAACTATTTGCACTAACATGCACTTTGCTTGCCACTAAACTTACTTTTGTTAGTCTCTTGAGAACTTGCCCTAGTAGTTAATTAATCTTACATAATCCATTTTAACGAGTAATTACATATCAAAATCAATAATCACGTTACCATTTCAAAAGTTCTGGAAGGATAAACTCGTCGTTCATTCAACTATTATTAGGTTGACCTTACGGTTAGACATAAGCACGGATTTTTTTAGCATAGATATATACTTTTAGGGGTCATTTACTTTGGATGATTGGGATAAGCTAAATAATCCAATCCAACTTTACACGTCAGCACCCGTCCCTTGTTTACTTTTCATGTTGGGATTCACATAAATGAATCTCATATTTACTTCGAAGGATTTAGCGACATGATACACCGGTGAAAGGACCAAAACACCCTCATGTACATAAAACTCGATTTCAGCCACCTCCCCCAAACACTGCACTCATTTTCAAACTTCTCGACCCTAATTTGTGAGAAGGGCATCGCGACGACGATTTGCGGCATCATTGCTCCCGACGAGAAGCCGCGATTTAATGACTAGAACCGTCGACGATGTAGAGGGGCTCCCGACGGCCGTAATCTGAGGGGTAATAGCTTTTCCGTTAATTGTGTTTCCAAGAACTAGGTATTTGGGTATTTCTTCTCACTTTCGACTTTTGCCTTTTCGCGTCAAATGGAAATTTCTTTGTTCTACGAACAGTTTTTTGTTTGAGTTTGATTTCGTGATTTTTCTGACAAATTGGGGTTTTGAAATTGTACTCAGATTGTGACAAATTGAGAAGCCGCGCTTTCTTGCCTTCCACCGTCGCCGACGTTTATCCGAGATAGAGGGGCTTCACTTATACCGTTCCGTGATTCATTTTCCGAGTACTAGGTAATTTGTTATTCTTCTCATTATCGACTTTTGCCTTTTTCCGTCAAATGGAAAATTATTTTCTCTACGAACAATTGTTTGTTTGAGTTTGATTTCATTCAGGTTTTGCCAAATTGGGAATGTGAAATTGTACTGTGTTGTCTACACTACACAATTTGTAGTTGTCCAGTTATGATGTTTAAATCCAAAGATGTACACGAGTAACAAATGACTAATCACGTATGCTTAAATAAAGCAATAAAAACTTGTGCAGCTCCTAATACTTTTTTTGCTATTTGCTTTATTAGTTGGTCTACATTTTATCTGGTATTTGGTTTGTATTGGTTCTTGATGAATTTGATGTGCTGCTGCCTTCAGTGGATTGTTGGGATTAGTATTGTGTGAATTGGTAGTTCTTGATATTTTGTATTATGTAGTTAGGCTAGTTTATTGAGAACTATTCTCCCTTTCTGTTATTATTTCCCTTAGCCCTGTTGTGTTAGACAAGGGTATACAAATATATATTAGTTGCATACATTTTTGGTGTGCATCTTGTGTATGTATATTAAAGCTGCATCATTGTTGGCTTGACCATGACATGGTTTTGTTATACAAACTGCAAATTTAATTGCCCTTAGCCTGTTGTGTTAGACATGGGTTTGCATCCTGTTGGTGTGTCATATGTTGATTTTTTCAGAATTTAGTAGCAAGTGAAATTGTTTTTATTTTAACACACATTGCTTTATGTTATTCTTCTTATCGTGATTGAAATGACTTTTGTACGTTATTGATTTCCACATTTTCAGCCAAGCAAGATGTCAAATACTTCTCACACAAGTTCGAGCAATCGATATAGCCGATCCTCTAATAGTCCATTTGAGGTTAGGCTATGTGAATGTGGCGACGCAGCCGATGTGTTCACATCGATGACCAGTGAAAATCCAGCTCGAAGGTTCTGCAAATGTCCTCGCCGAAAGGTTAAATTTTTTTTTTCGACCTTGTTTGAAGGTTATTTGAGTTTCAATTAGATTAGTTTTGTTTGTGGTGGTTCATTCACTTGTGTTGGTTCACCTTTGTAGACTGAAAAGGCTTGTAACCTATTTGTATGGATTGATCCCGAGTTGCCGCCGTTCCAAAAGGCTTGTTTTAACAAGCTTAAGGCTGAAAAGGATCGGTTGCAGGAGCAAATATTATGCAAAAATGTAATGGAAAAATTGCAATCAGAGCGGCTAGAATTCAAAGCTTCCGAGAAAAAAGAGTTGGAAAATGAGAATAAATTTTTGGTCAAATATTTTGGAGATTGAAGAAAAAAAAATGTAGAACTGCAGATCAACCTTGATGAAGCTATCCGTAAAGCTCGTAGTTTGGAGAAGAAGCTCAAATATATGAAATCTATATTTTTGTGCATTGTGGGCTTTCTTGTTACTCTTTTGTTTTTAAGTAAGGTTGGGTAGAATAGACTATGATGATGTTTTTAAACGTCCGTCCAGTTATTTTGTGTGTAATAACTAATATTTTGTAAACCTACTTAGTACTGTTTTGTATGATGGATTACTATGCATTGAACTTAACTTTATTGTGTTACCATATTTTGAATTTAAAAAAATTTGGTTAACATTACTGGTCACACTTGGCTGCAAGTGACCATTGAGAGGTCATTAATTCATGGTCAAAAGTTTCATATCTGACAGAACGTGCTATGACAACTCACGGCAGGTCTATAGCTACGCGTAAGCTTTTTCTTTAAAGCCGAGTTGATTGGAGTAAAGGACTTCACGCCCATGTTTACTAGCATGCGTAAAAAACTTTTTATGACCTTTCAAATGTCATTATCTGGTCAAAATATTCAGAACCGAAGTGACATGATATGTCCACTCACTGCACGTCTGAATTGAATAGAACTCACTTACCGACCATGATTTCTAGCTTTTGTCATGTGCAAAATTATTGATAATGAAGCATGATACATGCCTATTTAAACGACCAACTTCACAACAATTAAATCCACACTAGCAAAAGGAAGTAAACCTCAAATATCTGCTAGTTGTACTAAAGTCCGATGGCTCCTGATTTTGGTGTAGTGCAGGCCGACTATCTGTACGACCTACATTGGACACCAAAGTTGGATGAGTTTCTAATCGACTATTTACTTGAAAATAAGCTATGTGGTATATTTGTTCCTTATGCAGATAATAGTGAGTCCATACTTGGTGCTACGAACGCATTGAATGCGTGGTTTTCCAAGAGTTTCACGATAGAGTACATCGGTACCCGCGTTGGAGTTTTGGCCAAACGACATGATATTTTTACAGCGTTGAAAGACAAGGATGGTGTTCAATACAACGTCGAGCATAACAAGTACCATGCTTCGGACAAAACTTGGTATCAGTTGTTTAATGTGAGTTTTCTCAATGGTTTACATTTCTTTTCTTACACCAACGAACGATATATGTACAAACTAAATTAATTTTTTTTTTTGCACATAGTGGGATGATTTTGCAATCGCGTACATGACAGAAGGTGATCCACAGCATAACAACATTGTCAGTTGTCTCACGTTGAGCCACCGTACATATCTCCATTTGAGTGGTGTTATATTTTTGACAGCGACACCGAAGACAATAAGCAGAAAAGTAAGAAAGGTGGCAAAGATGTTGAAGTTATAAACGTTTGAGGACTACACTCCAAAGCGTGTGCCACCGAGTAGGTTAGTGCCCTACCCTGTTCGAACGAATATCCCCCGTAAGAAA